ACTTAATTCTTGTAAATTCTCTCAAAATCCTTTTCTCTTTAGAACTTTTTACCCAGTTTATTTAATATATCTGAGCTTTAAGCTTTTAGGCTTTTTTATGTTGGATTTCGAAAGTGGATTCAAAAAGTTTTTTTTTTTTCTTTATCAAATTCTTCTGAAATAGTAGTTTCAATCATAGTTAAACATAATAAAACATATTTTACAACTTATAAGATTAATTCTTGCATTGTATCTCATTCTTTATGAATAAGCTTCATGATAATAAAAAATCTGAAATTTTTCTAAAAAAGATCATCAATCTTTATCTATCTTTCCTTGTTTTTTTTTTTTTAATATTGTAACTCCAAAGCAAATTACGACGCATCATTGGTTTATCCTAACTTCATTCTTGAACATTCATTATCATTTTAAAACTGAAATTAAATATATTACTAATTCACTTCATCATATAACTATTTCTCAAACGCAAATATAATGATAAATCTTGTTTACTTCAATTGCACTCGTCAACATATAGCACCTAATTTTTTTATAGTCGATAGTTAATATTCTTTTTAAAAATGAAATATGCTCAACGCATATCAAATTCTAACATGTTTTTCTTTGTGGTAGATTATACTTTTCTCCACCATTTGGCAGCTTAAATATAGTATATATTGCATATTTACTTTACTTTTCCGTTATAAACAACATTATTTATTCTTGTAATATTTTTATAAAAAGAAGATAGCAAAAGTAAATTATCATGAGAAATAAAAAAAATAGGCACTATGTTTACACAAACCAGCTTATGTAATCGGTGCTATTCTATGTGTATTTGTAATTTAACAGGTTCAAAATTTCAATGAAGAAAAGAACGTTCTGCATGTTGACTCCATCTCAAGCAAAATGTTTGTGTTTTTAGTAAAATTTCTAACAACTTTCAAAATAGCCTTTACTGTATAAATTTAATGTTTTTAGAGATAAGTTGTTTTTCTCAAAAGTTTTATATTTGAGAAGAGAAATTTGAGATTATTCTGTACTATCTAGAAGATGTTTTGTATCTGTATATTTTTTTAAATGGAAAATTTAATTCTAGATGAAAAACATCAAATTTCAAGAGGTACAATGTGCAAATGAGAAACTGAACAAAATGAATCTTATTTATCTCAATGATAAATAAATCATGTGAATCCATTTATTAGCTGACGTTAGGACATCTCGAGAGATGGAAAAATTATGGTTAGAATAAATGGTGAAAATCAAGAGGAGGTCAAAAAAAAAAATAACAATGGATGCGACGAGGTTCGAACTCGCGCCTCTTTCGAGATCTGATCTTGAGTCAGACGCCTTAGACCTCTCGGCCACACATCCTTTTTGTTATTTTAGCAAAATTGCTCACGGCTTATGATCCTTAAATCTGCCTTTAAGCGAAGGAAAGGTAGTGCCATGGATGGTTCGTGTATTCACATCTGCACTCACAGAACTTTTGATTTATAAATGACAGTTCCTAGTTCATCAGTAAAAAATTATAAAACACTATAATAATCTTTCTTGAGTACAGTTATAATGCAGAAAAGGAAATATTACTTAATTCTATCGCTCGTGTTTTATTTTGATACATACTTATCAAAGTCTTTATTCAATTTTTCAAATTTCAGCTCTGTATCATCCTTCCACATGTTCAAAGCTACCATCAAAACCTTATCGAAACCTCTTATTTCATTCAAATTCTTTGTGACGTACGGACCGGACAATTTATTATCAAACTTTCTAATAATTTCTCTGAACCGATTTTTGCAATCCAAATGACTGTACGAATAATCTTTTGGTGTTAAGTCTAATGATTTTGTGACACTTAAGGTTGCTGATTGAGCAATTTTTTCCCATTTTCGTCTACTAACCGCTGGATCCAAATCCCTTGATGGTCTCAATTCTAAATATTCTCTAATAATGACTTCATCAAGTATAGGAGTTGAATTATCAATAAAACTAAGATAATTTATGGCCCATAAAAAAATAATAAATACGTTCGAAAGTACAATAAAAATAATCAAAAAAATACTTGAGACAGAATAGTTATTATTTTGAAACCAAAAAGGAAAAACAGTAAATTTCCATTGTAATGCAGTTAATACCAAAATTTCACCAATGAAAAGTATTTTACTGCTTTTTGGAATTAAATATTTGAAACCCATTTTCAATTTGATGTTTGATTAGTTTCTGGTCTTTCTTTATCTTGATCTACTTGATTTATGATTTTTATCGTAAATTAATTAATTCCTAGAAAAAACTATTCAGATTTGATGGATTCACTACCTTTATGTGTAAGAAATTGCAGAGGTTAAAAATATTCTTACGATCTACATTAAAAGTTCAATGACATACAACATTACTGAATAAATAAATATCATGAATACATATATAAATGTATATGTATATATATATCGAGAGGTATCAAGATATAGCAAAACTTTTTTTTACTTTGAGCGTTCCTAAACATTCCTTCTCTAGCATTTTAAATAACTGTAATTCGAAAAATCAACAAAAATTAGTTACTGTTATCACCAATATTATTGGTGTTGTTGTTGTTTCTATTAACACTTAGGATAGTCTGATGTTCTTGTATTTCATCTTTGTCATTTCCAGCATTATGACTTGTGACCGGATATAATTCATCGTTAAAATTTCCACTATCTTCTTCAACAGCATTATTATTATTATTATTATTATTATTACTATTACTGTTATTATTATTATCGTTATTATTAATATTATTATCATCAATTTCATCATTATCATTATCTAAGGATGCATCATCATTACCGTTGATGTCAATATCTCTTCCTTGTGCATCAATCACTTGCAATTTCAACATGCCATCATCGTTGCTTACATAATCTTCATTGTCTTCACCGTCTTCGAACTCTTCTCTACCATCATTGCCACCATTAAAATTATTGATACTATCAATGAGATTACTATTATCATCATAGTCATCATTATCTTCTACAGCTAGTTCGCCTGTTGTTTCTCCATTCCCTAACAAAATGGCATTTGGATTCACAAAAGGTTCACAATCCTCTGGTTTAATACCTCCAAGAACCTGATTGTACAGATCCCTTATGAAAGCGAGCTCTTTATTCACAAAATTCACCCAGTTGTCTTCATTTATTATATCGTAAATTTCTTGATTGATTATGATAATGTCGCTACTGTTCTTGCTCTCAAAAGTGTCATTTTTTTGAGTATTTTCATCTTTTTCAGGAAATGAATGGTAATTTGTATAAATAAGGCTTGAAAATTTTACCAATTCTTCACTTATTAAGATCAAATGTCCCATGTAACCTAGCCGAAGATTTAAATTTTTTTCCAGCTCAACAGAGTCATTGTATCGATCTATAATCAAATTTGTAATAAAACAGCGGTCTTTTTTAAACAATTCATGAATTAAAAATTTGTTCGTATTTGAGTTATCAAATCTGCCATTAAAAACTTGCTGAGCAATATCAAATATAACATTATGCAAGAAATTATTCCACGGAAACTTTTTTAACATATCTAAGACAAATTTTAAAACATTTGCTTTGATCAATTGTTTTTTGAAAAAATCTCCAATTGTTAACTCTTTTGAAGGGTATTCGTCAAATATCGGAACTTCATCACTGCTAGTATTTGCATTTTTTTCAGAATCTTCGTTGATTGAAAAATTTCGAATTTCATTAGTTAATTTTTCCACATCTACCAAGCTCTTACTACCATCACCACCACCAATTACCCCTGAACCAAGAGAAGAAGAAAATTTACTTGTTAGGTCATTAACCGTATGCTGCGATTTTTCATCAGTTTCTAAATCATCTAGCATGAAATCGAGTCTCTCGTCAGTTATACTTTTGTTCAAAGCATCTGTCATCAATTCAAATTTGTTATTTCTAAATCTTTCTCTTTTCTTAATGATTTCATCACTTCCCATATTATTCATTAAATGCATATTTGAACAATGCAACAATTCAGCAATTAACTCAACAATTTTGAATCTTTCGAAACCGACGGGTTCTAGTTCACCAATAGTTGTAGGTAACATTGCCGCTTCATAGTTTTTTAGGTAACGATCAGTCAATATTTTCAAACCGCTGCTAAACCTAGCTAACATGACACCAAGATATATTGGATCTCTACTGCTAGGTGGGCTATTTGAGTAATCATCATCTAGGACATCAATACTGTCATAGTCTGAGTTATTCTTTCTAATAACTTCAATAATGATACCAACGCACGTAGTTAAGGCATGTCCTCCAGATAAAGTTAGATAAAATAATCTTTTTGATCCTTCTTCACTGATCAATGCTCTTGTCAAATCATTAGGTCCGATTAACGAAGAGTCACTACTATTTGCATTTTCTGGATCAACATCGTATAAAGCAGGAGTATTTGCACTAATTGTGATTAAATTTTTTAAAAAATCACCAATTGAAGTTTGTGTAATTATTGAATCTGTTTTCAAAAGATCTAACAACTTCAATATTAAATTTTGCTCTTTTAAAATCTCAATCAAGCCTATAGGTGAATCACTTTTGTCATAACTAATAAATTTTATTAATAAATCCATAAAGGGGGATATTTTCACATGTTTTAATATCTGATCCACTAATAATCGATTTTCTTGATTTTGGCGGATAAAATTCATAAATTCATTAACATTTAAATCTATCAAACTTTCTATTATACTGATAAAAAGTGAAACATTTGCCAAATTATCTACAGTAAATTCTTTATCGAGAATGCTATTCCAAATCTTGGAAAGTAATTTGAAATTATCAAACTGTTGTCTTTTAATTATTGTCTTATCAGTCGATGACGTTAATAATTTCAGTGATACTCTTTTGAGAGCTAGAAGTTCTCCGGATGTAGTAGCCCTTCTCCTATATTGATCATCAGGTGATTCTTCTAAAGATTCCTGATCATCTAGTTGCTGTGTTGTTTGATTTGGAGTTTCATTTTGATCTTCATAAAAAAGCTTTTCAAAAAATGGAACCGATTCTATCAAGTTATCGATTAAAACATTCAAGACATCATCTCTGCATATATAAGTCAATAATTTTTGATTTTTCCCTATATCAACCTCCTGAACTAAAGACGGCTGAAGTAATAGCTTATTCAACAAATCTATATTAAGTTTTTTAGTCTTAGTGGATTGAAAACTGTCATTCCCATCATCGGCTAATTCCGATTCGTCTTCATCAGATTCTATTTGTGATTCTCGTATTGATTGCAATAATTGCATAGCAGGCGTGGCCGATGAATTGCTATGATCAGATCGAACATCATTATTATCACTACTTTTATTATTGTTATTATTATTATTATTATTATTATGTTCCTGCTGATCCGTACCGGCTAATGGAATTGTTCTTTCATCTAGATCAATTTGAACTAATATCTTATTAATCTCTACTTGCGAGTTTTCAAATATTCCAAACATTGCAACCTTTCCCAACTTCCATCAATATATTTCTGCCAGCAAAAATTTTCTATACAATTAAAAACATTAAAATGATAAATTATGACAGGTAGATCCAATTGAAGAAAGTATTGCTATTTTCTCTATCGGTATTATTAAATCTTAAAAGAGGTTTTGTTTCTCTTAGTAATTAATGCTGACGGTTTCGGAGTGAAAATGAGGTAAAAAAATAAAAAAATAAAAAAAAATTTAAAATTAAAATCAAAACAAAAAGGAAGTAAAAAAGAAAAAGGTAATAATTAATGATAATTCAAAAAGAACAAATTATATCATTACCACGAGAGACAGAGTAATAGGTTGATTGATTGATAGATATCAGAAGGTGATTTTTAATCGAATATGGCTTTATTATTTGGCCGTTCTAAATTTCTATTTGCTAAGTAAGTGAAAAATGGGGGTTTCATCTCTAAAACTGTTTGCTTTGATTAAAATACTAACAACAATAAACAGCGTGATAATTCTTTACTTGGCATATTTGTCATTTTACGAATGTCCATTAACTGAAGACTTACGTTCGAACAGTGCAAAGTTATGTTATCCACTTCATCAGTCGGCTGATTTTATAAGGCCTTACTATGAGCCTATTGATAAGTTTGTTGAACCTTATTTTACTGAATTGAATGATAAGGCTTTTAAACCTCTTGCAGCAAAGTCAACTTCTATTTATAATGAATACTTGTTGGAGTCGGTTGATTCAATTAGCGATGGTGCTAAAAGATATTACCTGGTTGCTGATAAAAATGTTTTCGTGCCATTCAATGAAAAAATTTCTCCAATTTTACTGAAACTGTATGTTTACTATAATCAATATATACATCCACAATTACTTGAATTTTATAACAAGCTGTCACTG